TCACCTGAACGACGCTCGCACGAGTAGCTGTCGGAGCGACGGAGGTGCCCTGTAGGACACGAAAGGTGCCCTGTAGTGAGAAAGCTGCTCAAACGCTGGTGCCTCTGGAGGGAAGGCCAGCAACCTACCCCAGCGGACCTGCTGCACACTCGGGTGGAAGTCGAGAACAAGAGGGAGAACCCGCTGCTGCGCCTCCTGCTCCCCCTCCCCCCGAGCCCGTGACCTGGCAAGAAGCTCCGGGCGTCGTGCGTAGGAGATGCTGCTGAAGATCGGCTGCAAGAAAGTGTCTGGGTACCCCCGCGCCCGCAGCCGAGCGTAGAAGGCCGACCTGATACTCCTAAACCCTCGAGAACTGGACTCCCTCAGAATGTACCGCTGCAGCTCACCCAAGATGAAGCCCCTCTTGCAGTGAGAGGGGTGCGCGGAGGAGAAAGGAAAGTACTGGTACACGTTGAGCGGCTTCTGGAAGGTCGTGGTGTCCAAGATAGCCGTCGTCTGCCAGAGCTCTCCCTTGCTGAACGTGATATCCAGCAAGGTGAACTGTGAGGTGGAGATCTCGTGGGTCAGTCGAATAGTCTGCTCCAACCCACCAAACGCCCCCACCCACTCCAGCAGCCGCTCCCGTGTCCCCGTCCAAACCACCACCCCGTCGTCTATGAACCTGCGGTGGAGAAGGACGTGCTGCGACAACTCGGGCTCTGTCTCTAGCAACCTCTCGTCTAACCAAGCCATGAACAGAACCGCGTAGATCACTGCTACAGGCGTGCCCATAGCAGTCCCCCGAACCTGCCGCCAAAAACGACCACCAAACTCGAGGTGGTTCTGCCTCATGACCAACCCCAACAGCTGCACCAGTGTGTCTGCTACCCCCCTTGCAATCCTCCCCTGTGCTGCCCACCGAAGCAACCACCTCTCGATGCAGCTGATACCTGCGTCGATAGGGATCGATGGGTAGAGGCTCTCAACGTCGTAGGTCAGGAAGAGAGCCTCTGCTGGCACACGAAGGTCCTCTAGCTGGTGCAAAAGTGCAAGTGAGTCTGGAAGGTGCGAGGGTGAAAACCGTAGTAAAGGGCGGAGGTAGTGGTCTAAGACTGCCGATGCATGCTCAAAAACCCAGAGCGTGGACGAGCAGATAGGCCTGCCGGCTACTGGAGTCTTGTGCAGCTTCGGTAGCAAGTAGAATCTGCACACCCGAAACCGCTCCCAAGCTCTGGTAGCCCGCTCCAAACACGGAGTGCGTGGCTGCAGGATAAAGTCTAACACCTGCGACGGCAACCCTGCCAGGCGTGCCTGCTCTGCCCACCGACACAACTGCCCCCAAAGTCTCTGCAACGGCACCATAGCCACCGGCTCGTAAACCGCCCTGTCCCCCAGCTGCCTCAGCGCCTCCCCCTCGTACCACTCCCTGTCTAACACCGCAATCCCAAGGTTTTTGTCGGCCGGTTTAATAACTATAGACCGGTCCCGACTCAACCTCTGCAGCGCGCCCAACACCCTCCTGCTCACGTTGGGCCGCGCTGGCCCCCCTATCAGCTCCGACAAACCCTCTACCCTGTCAGCTACCCCGGCCAGGTACTCCTCAACCTCCTCTGGTCCCGAACTCGGCTGCCAGCTGGGACGTGGGACTCTGAACCTGGGTACTGGTCTGCGACTGTCCCGGAACTGCCAAGCCAGCCTGACCCTCCTCTGAAACTGCTCCACCGCCTGTCTCAGCTGCTCCTGGTCTAAGGAGGGTGGTGTCGGGATGAACTTGAGGCCAAGGGCGAGGCCTGCAAGCTCATCCTCTGACAACTGCCTGCGCGAAAGGTTGTGGACAGCCACGTTAGTTAGCTTGTCCGCCACCTCCTGCACAGAGCGCCTAGCAAACAGTCTCAAAAGACGGTCGGTGTCACTCTCCTCCAGCCTCCTACGCGGCCTACTCCTCCTCCTACGACCGACCTCCTCCCCCACGACTCCCTCTACTGCCTCGCCTGCCCCTGCTGCTCCCCCTGACCCTGTGGAGGCTGCTGTGGCAGGGGGGGCTGTGGGGGGGTCGGAGGAGGTGCTCCAAACTGCTGCTGCCGGAGGGGTGCTCCAAACTGCTGCTGCTGGAAAGAAGGCCCCAAAAAAGGCTGCTGGTAGAACTGCTGCTGCGCAGGTGCGCCAGAAAAGGGAAAGTACGAGGGACCCTGGAAGAAGGAGCCCTGGTAGGGGCCGAAAGAGGACCCCCCCTGTCCGTACTGCCAAGAAGGCTGCTGCTGCAGGCCGTAAGGACCGAACGGCTGCTGCTGCTGCTGCAGGCCGTAAGAGCTAAACGGCTGCTGCTGCTGTGCTAGGCCCTGGTAGGTAGACTGGAACGGCTGCTGTGACCAACTGTCACGGTCCTGCCACCCGCCGTCCAGTCCACCCCTCCCCCAACGACCTCCCCGGTCCCAACGTCCTCCTCTACCGCCTCTGCGGTCCTGGAAACTCGTGGAGCCACCGCCGCCCTTCCCCTTGCCTCCCTGAGTGGAGGCAGGGGCCTGCTCAGACTGACGTGTGGTCCCGGTCTGCTGCTGCTGGGTCTGCTGCTGCTGCTGCTGCTGCTGCTGCTGCTGCCGCTGCTGCTGCTGACCCTGCTGCTGCTGCCCCTGACCCTGCTGCTGCCCCTGACCCTGCTGCTGCTGCCCCTGGGTCTGTGTCACTGGGCGCTGCTGGGTCGTGGTGGCTGCTCCCTGACCCTGGGAAGGCTGTCCTGCTGCACCCTGTGTACCTGCAGTCTGTGCACCCGCTCCCTGAGTAGGCTGTGAGCGGCTGCCCTGTCGGCCCTGCGGAGTGCGGCTACGGACAGGAGAGACGGACTCCAGGCGTCCGTCACCCGTAACCTCCCTAGTCCTGGTCCTGCCTCGCTGCTGCTGGCCTGACTGCCCTGAGCGCCGCCCCTCCAAACGGTCAAGTCGCTCGAGGATGCGACGAAGCTGCTCCCGGGCCTCGTCCTGCCAGGCGCCCACCTGCCTCTCGACCTCCCTGGGGACAAACTCTCCCATGGTCTGGTCTACAGGCGTCGCCTCTGCCTGCTCACGCCGCTCCTGACGTCGCTCTCTCTGACGCTGCTGCTGCTCCACCCGCCTGCTCTCAGTGTCTGCGTACTGCCGGTGCTGCAGCCCTACACGGAGGAGTGCGTCTGTAACAGCAGCGTGGCACCTAACCCTCAGCGTCTGGATGCTCTGCCAGATAGCAGAGCGTGCCGGCTCTGCTGCAAACTGCTGCGCAAGGAACCCCACGTCACAGGCTCTCGCAAGTCGGTCGTCTATCGTCACGAGAAGCCTGTCACGCCAGGTAGTGACCCGAGTCTGAAGCTGCTGCAAGTCCTCCACCTGGCCGCTGATAAGAATCAGCTGCATCTGTCCCTGTGCGTGCTGCTGAAGCTCCTGCATCCTAGTCCGAAGCTGCTCCTGTGCCTCTGTAGTGTGGAGGTGGAGCTCAGGTACAAAGTTCTTCGGGATGCAGTGCGCCACCTGTCCCTCAGAAAACTGCTTGCGAGTCTTCGCCAGACCCCTCTCGGTCTTAACGACGGCTCGCAAGTCAGCTGCTAGTACAGCGGACTCTGTCTCTATGAGCGCTGTAAACTCTGGTGGTACCGTCTCTGCCTGGATGGCGTCCCTAATCTCCGCCACCCTGGAAAGTAGAGCAGGGTCCGTGGCAGCCCCAGCCCCTGCACCTGCTGCTCCTGCGGCTGCTGCCCCTCCTCCAGAAGTGTCTGGGAAAAGACCACCAAAGACCTGCCGAAACAGCCTCGAGGCAAGAGTGTCTGTCTGCTCTCCCCCGGCAGTAGCCTCACCCGCCGCACCGGTGGCTGTCGGCTGCTGCTGCTGCTGCGGCTGCTGCTGCTGAGACTGCTGCTGACCCTGCCGCTGCTGACCCTGCTGCTGCTGGGCCTGCTGTTGCCCCTGCTGCTGCTGCTGGCCCTGCTGCTGTGGCTCCTGCTGCGACGACGGTAGCCCAAGCCGTGGTCGCTGCTGCCGCTGCTGTGCCAAGGTCTCAGCCTCCTGTCTCAGCTGCTCGCGAATGGAAGCTGCCTCCTGTGCCAACTGCTCCCTGTCACGAGAGATCATCCTAACCCAGCTGTCTATCACGGACCGGTCTCGCAGGATATCCCCCTCAATATTCCTGAGACGAAGCTGCTGCTGTATGCTGCGCTGCCACTCGGCCTGCTGCTCCAGCGCCAACTCCGTCCGTCTGTCCTCCTCGTCCCGCTCGGTCCGTCTACGAGTACGCCGAAACTGCTCAGTAATATCAGCGACAGTAGCTGGTGCACTAGTCTCCATAGCCGCAGCCGCTGATCCCCCCTGGTCTCCTGCTCTGCCGACACCGGCTCCTCCCCCAGTGCCTGCCGCTGCAGGAACTCGGAGCCCACTCATGGTGACGTCTAAAAGACTAACGAAACGGAAAAAACTAGGAGTCTGTATCGTCTACGCCACTCTCCAACACCGGCGTCAGTGCAATAGGTTTAGGGTTTGATAGGAATGCTCAAAGAACTGAGCTGCAGTGCTGCTCCAGACAGTCTAGAGTCGCTAACGAAGAAAGTGGCTGTGACGGCCTATCGGTAGAACGAGAGACTAACGGCCTAGACTGGGAGAAGTCGAGGGGCACGAGTCTCTGAAAGTCTAGCCGATGGCACTACTCTAAGGGTAGGCTAGGGCCGCCAGGGGGCAACACAAGGCTCCCCAAGCGGCAGGAAAAAACGACGACGAAAATGGCCTAGCGGAATGCAGGAGAACTGCAAGAAACTTCTAGCTAGGCAAGCAAACTGCTGAAAAAAACACAAGTCCTAAGCCTAGGGGTGTAGGGACATGCAATAGAGTAAGTACCTCAAGTGTAGGTAGAAGCAGTCTCGTATCGATTTCGCCACGAAGGCATCATCAGCAAGACAAGGATCTACCCTAGCAAGAGCTCCCTACTTATAGCTGTCCCAACCCAACCCAATGCCCCAAAGTGCAATGTGGGCCTAACCTGCCACCTAGGCAAAGAAACGCCCTTGC